AATCTTGTGCTATGTCTGGCTCTACACATCCCCGTACACACATGCCACTTCTTTTCTCCACTGTCTAGTCAAAGAACTAGAAAGATAGATGAAAAGAGACAGGTGAGCTAGAAAATAGGATTTTATGTACATCACAAGGGAAAGAGAAAGGCATTGAAACAAACAGGTGAAGGAAAAGGGAGCACCTGCAACCAATAGAGGACACACTATCCAGGTCTAAGGCCAGAGAAAATGGGCCAGAGCTTGGATCAGCCACGGTAGCCAACAAGCCAGAGGGTCAAACTGCCCACAAAGGACTCCTCTGTGCTCCACACTGGGATGCCTTAGATCAAGTGTGGTTGAGACTGGGCTCCAGACTCAGACATAAAGCCAGAGGTGGGTCCATCAAGACCAATGATCCCTCCACTCCTAGGAGCCACAGGTCCCAAGTGTAGCACTTGGCCAGGAGTGGTGTTGGTTAACAGTGAAGTGTTGTCCGTGGAGCCAGTCCTCCTGGTAGCAATTCCCAAGTCAGATCTTTTGGCTACGCTCATGTGCACAGCACCTGGGTTCTTGGAGGGGTGGCGAGTTGTGGAGTTGTACACAAAATAGAGTCTGGGGTGATATGATACTCACAAATCCTTGATGCCTAATGCTGCCCCTCAGCAGTTGAGCTGTAAGAGAGCATAGCCCATAGCGAGGATTGGGTTCCCTGTGTTGCCTAAAGAGAAGGGATTGTGCTGTCACTGCCCATGAGAACCCCTAGGTATGGACTGACAGGTGGCTCCTGCACTGCTAGATGCTCAGGAATTGCGCTTGGCCCCTGTGCCCACTGTATACACCAATTTGTGGATAAAGGGAGGAAGTCAGTGATGCCACTGGATGGGAGTTTCCCAGAACTAGGGAGACACCAGGAATATGGGGTATAGTTGTTCTGGGAGACAGGAGCAGACTGGAAGATTACAGCCTTGAATGAAGGGGTGGTATACATTGTCAGTGACAGGCTTGGAGCATGATGGTACAGAAGTTCTGCCATCTAGGAAGGAGGGCAGACATAACTGATGACTTGAAATATGATGAGAAGAGGGGAGTTGTAGAACGGGTACTATCTTGTTGTCCATGAGGATTTCCAGTTGTGGGCTGAGAAGTGTTTTCTGGGGCAAAGAGATGGTTCCAATTGGAGTAGGGGCAGGAGAATCACGATGTGGGTGTGCCAATGCAGACTGGTCCCTTCTCTACCTGGCTGTGCTGCTTAGGGCAGGTGACATGAGGGAATAGACAGGAGATGCTTTTGGAGCCAGGGGAAGATCTGAAAATGACCACCATAGAAGCAGAACTAATGACCATGACAGTGACCTCAGCTGGACAGTTGGCTGCCAGCCCAAGTGCCCAGATGCATTGGCTCTTGTGGTGGGAGAAACCATTGATAGAGTTATGGGCTGGCTGACGCTAATGGGGTTGGCTGGTGGAAGGGGTGAGAGGAGGATTGGGGAAGGAAAGAGGAGGAGGAGGGGAAGAATCTATGTACGTGATGGTTGGAGATTCTGTTCTGCAGGTGGCAAGCTTGAAGGAGAAAGGCTCTGTGATAGGAGGTGTGGGAAGATGGGAAATGGGAAGTGCTATGGCTCTTGCCAAGGGAGAAGAGTGTTGACACACACTAAGTGGCAACCTCCATATTGGGACTGGGTCTCAAGGGAGGAAGAGGGCTAGTGGGAGGAGGCCGAGGCAGAGAACGAGGGATTTGCCCTCTTATCACTAGAGAAAGATCCTGCTCTTTTTTGGAGCTAGAACCTTCTACAGGGTGCCTAAGTCTTCCTTCATTGAAACAAGAGGACACTTAGGAGGTCAGAGAAGCTCTCTTCCATGCCATTGGCCATGGCAGCCATAGCCACAGGATTATTGGCATGGGCTTCTTTCTGTTTTGCCCCTCCATAGCAGCTATGGATGGAGGTTAGCTCATGAATGGGCTAGTGCACACTGCACCCCCTCTTCTGACTCCTGGGACCCTAGAGACCTGGGCAGAAGGTCTTCATCCAACCCTTTCTTGGCCCACATTTCTGGCGTCATGGAGCAGCCTGAGGCTGGCTTAGGGAGCCCAGCTGTCTGTGCATCAGGCTGCCCTAGATTCATCCCACCTGCAGCAGGGCTGTGACACCTGTGGCAACTTGGCTGTCAGCGGAGAAGTTCACTGGAGGCACCTGGTCTCTCTCAGAAGGTGTTTTTCTCCTGAGGTCCAGGAGTGAACTCCATGGCAGTGAGGTCTTCCTGGGTCTCTAGAGTCTTGGAGAGTGCTACTTCCCCATTGCTAAGGGCACCTGTTTCTTTCTTTTTTTTAAAAAAAAGAGAGAGTGTGTGTGTGAGAGAGAGAGAGGGAGATAATTCTTCAATATCTATTTTTTTTTAGCTTTCGGCGGACACAACATCTTTGTTTGTATGTGGTGCTGAGGATCGAACCAGGGCCGCACGCATGCCAGGTGAGCGCGCCACCGCTTGAGCCACATCCCCAGCCCGGCACCTGTTTCTTGATTGTCCTGCATATCTGTCTCTTTGCTGCCCTCTTCCTCCTCCTCTTGTTCCACCACCCTCTTTTGTGCCACCACAGCCTGTGCCACTGTTGCTGCAGTCAGTTCGTATGGCTGCTCTTGGACTCTCACCTCTGTTTTCTCGTCAAAGCAAAAGGTTGGTATGTGACTCAGTGTCATGTCATGGTCTCCTCAGCCTGGTTGACCTGTTCAGGTGATGAAGGCAGGAGAATGGGCCTTTGCCCAGAAGGAACAATCCTTACAGTTTTGGAGGGTTTGGTCTTCTGCAAATTGTTAGTGGACAGCACAGGCTTTTTCTGCCCAGGAGGCAGATGGGAAGATTCACAGAGAGGAGTGCACCACCTGCAGGAGATGGCCTCTGTAGTAGCCAGCTGAGCAAAGCACATGAGGACCAGGATACTCCTTGAAGAGCCTGCAGACAAGGTAGATGGCAGATGCTTGGGTAGCGGGGTTTTGCCATTTAGGGTCAGGAAATGAGCAGGTGATAACCCACAATCACCTACTAAATATACTGTGTATTTAGAATAGATGGTGCAGCTCCATCTGGAGAGGAGAGAAGAGACCAAGGATACTGGGCTTGGACAAGGCCATCTTCTTTGGGCCAAATTCACACTGTTGAGTCCAGTTCTTGGGACATCTTGCTGGAAGATGTGATCGAGAAAGGACCCATATGGAAGTGCAGTGCAGCCAGTGGGTCAAGAGAAGAATCCCAGAGCAAAGGTTGAGGCCCACTGTCCACTTCAGGGCTTCATTTTATAGTTCCTAGGACTTCCTGCTGCTCTTTGCACATGTGTGGTGCTGTGAGGGCCACATATATGGACTGTTGGGACTGCAGCCTTATCTTACGAGGCTACTGGGTCCTGGGTTCTGTTTACCAACACAAGGTGATGCTTGATCCAGGGTGCTAGCTTGGGCTACCACTGCCTGTGTGTTGCTGGCCCTCTCCTCATAGGCTCTGAGTGGGGGATGCTAGGATGTGGTGGTTGTGCCAGTAGTGCTGAAATCCCAGTGCCAAGGTAACTCAGATCCTGCCAGGCCCCTCCAGTGACATCTCAAGTGCCTGCTTGCATGGTGGCACATCTTCTTTAAGGCCAGCATGGCCTTACTTGCTGGGTGTGGTCTTCTGAATCCTAGGAACTTTGAATTTGGGAGGTTGCAAGAGGTTTTGTTGAGACCCAAATTCTGTTAGAGAGAAGACTCATCACAAGTTCTTTGTAACCTCTCCAAGAACAGATGATCTACATTCATGACTTTGAACCATAGTTTCTTGATACTAAATCTCCTTGAATGCAAGGAGATTTCAAAAAGGGAATCAGGTTTTGTTTGTTTCTTTGAATGGACATAAGCTGGTAGAAATTGAGGAGCAATATTTCCTAAAGGACTCTGCAAAATAGGATTGCATGTCATATTTCTTTGAAAACAATGAATTACAGTCATGGTATTCCCATTATTACTACCATGGCTACCACTACTTGTACTAATATTAGTACTACCATCACCACCACCACTATTTTAGAACAAAGAATAAAATTGATTGACTAATTGATGATTATTTGGACTTTAGGAGAATTTGGACAAATGTATCCCCAAGAAGTCCAACTGTGGATTTTTTTTTGGTTAAATGGAAAAAATAAATGGACCCAATGCTTTTTGTGATCTGTGATATTTTCTTACTTGTCCTTGTAAGACAGAATAATGTTCAGTGACAGGTGATTTTTCTGATAAAATTTGGTTTTGAAGAAGCAATCATATTAGGTCAAATTTGTCAAATACTTGCCAGGCTAGATTACTTTGGAATTTGGCAGTTTGTAAACCACCAATCTCCTGTCATATCAAGTGACCCCAGGGAGTGGCCAGCAATGGATGGAATTCTGGTAGAGACAATAAAATATGTACCAGATAACCTGTGATTGAACCTTCTTGCTCCTTTTTTTTCTTGTCTTCTTCAACAGCCACTGTTAGTCTTATAGGTAATGTGGGGACAAACTGAGGGACCCAGGAACTGAGTGCTTTAAAGAACCTTAGTCTTCTCCTTTTGTGTCACTCTTCTGTCTTGTTACCTTTCCTATAACGAGGGCCCCAGCTCAAGCAGGCTGGCTCTGTGCTGCAATTTCTTAGTGAGGTCTTTTCTTGATTACCTTATCCACCACCTCTCCATCCCACTTACTGTTTTCTAAACATGTAGGAATACTATGTCTGGTTGGTGATTCCCACAATACCTTGCTTTTATACCTCTACTCATTTTGGTATTACTACACATTTATTGCAATATTTTAGGAGGAGGATTTAGTAAATCCATGTTTCTGTTCTATCATCTTGAAATAAAAATGTCTCTGTTGATTCTAGAATTGAGTGTTTCCATAGGAGAAAACCATTTTTAGCATTCAGAGATGTTAACACTCTGCTTTTCTTGAGCAAGTACTGAGGATTTAGGATTGGGAATAGTGAATGGGGAATTGACCCTACTCAGGGGTTTGATTTGAAGAAAAGGGAAAGAAACAGGCTTTATTTATTTAGAAGCCATATCACAAAATGCTTTGCATTAATTTTTCCCCTGATTTGTCAGTTTCTTCAGACAGTTATTGTGATGTTCCTCAAGAGAGAATGTGAATTTTGGCTGACCAAAAACCAGACATTATTTTTCAGTAGTTCAATGGAAATGAGTTATGGTCTTGGAAGTTCTGCCTGAAGCCACACAAACATGTTTCTGGTTTCCTGTCACTTCAGAATATTTTCCTCATGTATTCCTCCTTTCAGTGTTGTGAGGACCTCCTGCCATTATGATATTTTACTCTGGTACTGGGAAGACATTTTCAATCCTAAATTATTTAGCAATATGCATTCATATGCATATTTCTGCTGTGTATCAGCCACCAGAGGAATTCATATCTTTAAGAGAATCACTTCTTTGAACCATTGTTGCCCTTGGCAATAGTGTCCTTGCTCTCCCATGACTGCTTATCAATATTGAGAGAGGGAGGGAGAGGAAGGGGGGGGGGAGAGAGAGAGAGATCCTGTTACAACATCAGTCAGAGCCTCTCTTATCAGCTGGGTAAACAAACTTACTGTGGTACTCAGCAAACAAAGAAACAGGCTACACACACACACACACACACACACACACAAAACCCCAAATAAAAAACAAAAACTGGGTTCCTTTGAAAATCTTTATGCTTGGTCAAAAGGGCCAAAGAGGCCACATTGTTTCAACTGCCTGGGGATGGAGAGGGGTAGCATGATAGAAGGGCAAAGAATGGAGCAGGGGGAAATTTTGGGCATAAGAGATCAGTGCATTTCTTTGGGATAATGGGCCTATGGGTATATGCTGCTGCAGAACATGGGAAATTGTATTCTTTCAGTATAGGAAGCTCATGGACTCAGTTCTGTTCAGATATATTTTAAAAAGTCAGGCACAGTAGTGTGTTCAGTGAAAATCATACCACTCAAGTATAGAGGCTCTGTGTGAGTTAGTTGATGTCCCTTCTATTATCTTCCTGCAGGCTGTCCTAAAGGTGGATGGTTCACCCCACTTTCTTTGGATCCTTTTACCTGGGACCAGAAAACTTGAATAAATTCAGGCTGTACCAATCCCTATGCACACATGCCTCTTCTTCTCCCAGCACCTAATTTAATAGCAAGGAATACATAGGAAAACAGACAGGTGAACTAGAAGCAACAGAATTTTATGAGTATCACTGGGGAAAGAGAAAGGCTATTGAGTCAAAGGGTTAGGGGAAAGGGAGCCCCTGTAACTAGCAAAGAACCCTCTAGCAAGGCCCAAGGCCAAGGAAAATGGCCCAGAGCTTGATCAGCCAGGCTAACCATCCAACTTTGGAGTAGAGTCAAGCTGAGTGACCACAGAGTTCTCCTCTGCTTCACACTCAAGTGGCTCAGATTCAGTTCAGATGAGGCTGTGTTCTGGACTTGGACCTGGAGCCAGGGGTGGACATGCCAAAACCAATGTTCCCTCCACTCCTAGGAGTCACAAGTCCCAAGAGCATTGCAGGGCCAGGAGTGTTGCTGGCAAACAGGGAACTGCTATCTCTGGAGCTGGTCCTTTTGTTGGCAAGTCCAAAGCCAGACCTCAGGACTGGGCCCCTCTGTACACATTTGCTTTCTTGGGAAAGATTGGCTAGCTGTTGAGTGGTGTGCCTAGTCTGTCTGGTACAGGGTGATGTGATACCCACAAGTTCTAGCTTCTCTGTGCTACCACTCATAAGTTGAGGAGAACTTAAGCCCTGGGCTAGGCTTCCTCGGTTGCCCAAAGAGAATGAGTTGTGCTATTACTGCCTACCAGGGTCCCTAAATGTGGGTTGTTGGGTAGCTCCTGAGCCACTGGGATGCTGGAGAGTTGCTTTTGGTCCCTGCACCTGCTGTGCATGCCAACTGGTAGAGACTGGCACTGAAGCAATGCTGCCACTGGATGGAAGGTTTACAGAACCAGGAAGCACCCCAGAGGATGGGTCAGATTTGTTTTGGGAGATAGAAGGAGACTGGAAGATGACAGTGGTGGAAAGAGGGGTCATATCCAGAGCATCAGTGATGGCAGGCTTGGAGGATGATGGTACAGAGGTTCTGCCTCCTAGGAAGGAGGCCAGTGAATGTGACAGGGAATCCATGACAGGAAATGTAATGAGCAGAAAGGTGTTGCAAAGACAGGCTCTCCTTAGTTCCTCACGAGGGTTCTCAGATGTGGGCAGAAGAGTGTTTTCTGAGCCAAAAAGATGGTTCCAATTGTGGTTGGGTAGGGAGAGCTTGATGTAGTTGGGCCAGTAGAGACTCTTCCGTTTACCAGCTGCCTGTGCTGCCTGGGGCTCTGGACCTGGGGCTGTGAGCAGAGCTGCCATTGTAGCCCAGGGAAGATCTGAAAATCACAACTATAGAAAGGGAAGTAGTGTCCATGGTAGTAACCTCAGCTGGAAAGTTGGCTGCTGGGCCAAGTGCCCAGATACATTGTCTCTAATGGTGGGAGAGAAACTTGCCAGATTATTGGCTAGTTGATATACTACTGGGGTTGCTGGTAGAAGTGACAATGAGAGGGCTGGTACAAGAAAGAGGAGAGGAAGAGGAGAATCTCTTCACTTATGTTTTTGGGATTTAATTCTGTGGAGTCAGACATGAAAGGAAAAGGCTAGGATAGGAGGACTGGGGAGGTGGGAAGTGGGAGGTGCTGCGGTTCTTGCCAAGTAAGTAGAGTGTTGATATGCACTAACAAGAACCCCTGTATCATGACTAGGCTAGTGGCCGGAGGTGGAGGATGACATCTAGGGATTCCCACTTCATCACTATTTGGTATGGGGAAGGTAGAGGGAGGGTTCACAAATTGTGTTGTTGCAGTAATAGCTGGGATCTGGGAGGTGTCAGTGGGTGGGGTCAGTGAGTCTACAGACACTTAGGGGTTCGGCGGGGCTGGGGAGAAAGATGGGTCAAGCTGAGTGATGGTGTAGGCTACTGCATTCCCTGTTTTACCCTCCAAGGCCTTTGTATCATTCTCCAAGGCCCTGCTCTTCTTCAGAGTTAGAACCTTTTTTGGCAGAGTGCCTAAGTCTTCATTCTTAGAAACAAGAGGATGCTTAAATGGTGGAGGCAGCTCTCCTCTGTGCCACAGCGGCAGGAGTGCCATTGGCATGGGCCTCTTTCTTTTTGGGTGCCTCCTTCTAGTAGCTATAGGTGGAGGACAATTCCATGATGGGCAGATGATAGACTTTCACTCTGTCCCCCCCTCTCTTGACTCCTAGGAGAGTGTAGAACTGGGATGATGGTGTTTGTCCAGTCCTTCCTTGGTTCACATTTCTGGCAGCTTGGAGCAAACTGGGCCTGGCTCAGGGAGCATAGGTTCCTATTTATCAGGCTGAGCCAGAGTCAGCCCACCTGCAGCAGGGCTGTGCTAGCTGTGGATGGTAGGGCCCACAGAGGAGAAGTTCATGGGAGACACCTGGGTCCAATCTTGCAAGGTATTTTGTTTCTGAGACTCAGGTGATGGCTCCGTGGTAATTGAGTCTCCCTGGGTCTCCAGAGTCTTGGAGGTACTAGTTATCAATTGCTTGGGGGCAGCTCTTTACTGATCTGCCTGCCTGTCTTTTTGTGACACTCCTCTGAACCTCACACAGCATCAGTTGCTCCTGCTGCTCTTAGAACCTCACCTCTGTCTCCTTAAGATGAGGAAAATGGAAGTTGACCAAGTGTCATGGACTCCACAGCCTGGTCAACCTGTTCAGGACCAGTCCTCCATAAATGGGATACTTGTGAACCCCATACCTCTGAAGAAGTGGAAATGGACTGAATGAGTCAAATAAGGTGTCAGTCCCAAAGGGCATATTGGTCATGACTGAAAAGGGAAAGACAGATTAGCCAAGGACTGGGAGTGGTGGTTGAGGATCTGCCTCCTCCCCACCAACACATGCGTATCTCTATGAGAGATTACACTCTGCTTTGGGGAATTAGTCAGAAAGCTATGGGAAGTGTAATAGAATGGCTATTATGGATTTGAGACACTGGTGCTGAAGATGTACTCTTTTACAGGAATGAAATGTATAATATCACATCAGTCATCACACACCCTACTCTACAGCAATGTTTATATTCAGCTGTGAAAGAGGACCCTGCCCTCTTTATTGTCCTGGCTGTGAGATGCCTATAACACTGCATAGCACCCATGTGATGACAATTCATGGAAGAACTTTAAAAATTCCTAAGGGAGTTAGGGATGAATCAGTCCCTTCACGCGGCAATCTACACTGGTCCTGATAATGAACAGTTCCCAGCTGAAATGAAGGACCTTTCTCTAAGCAGCACTGAGGCAGGGTTATGCAGGTCTAGGGCCAATTCTGAACACTTGAGTGGGACTCCTTGTTTCTCAAGCCACACATGCTGTGGCTGTATCAGATCCACTGAAAAGATGAGGAAGTGAGGTTATACAGAATATATCTTAGAAAGTGGAAAAAGTAGAGGGCTAAGGAAATTCAACAGGTCCAGTGAGGAAAAGCAAGGACAATTTTCTTTCATATGTGAAGGGAACAATGGATTTTGTTCTTCCACAAGTGAATTTATGTAGCCTGATCCTATGTTATGGCATGGTGGGGGCAATTCTGACCTGAGAACAAAACCCGAACCAGTGGAAATGTTTGATTATATCAATGATGTGGCATTAACTTGTGGGTATGTTTTTTACCTAGATATAGCAGCTCAAGCAGTTTTGGCACAGTTCCAAGATAGAGGATGGATATCAACTCCTACAAGTTGCAAATACCTGGACTGTCTGGCAAGTGTATGTGGGTTATCTGGGTGGGACCTATGTTGTACATAGATTCCAAGGTTTCCCAACTCCCAGTCGCAAAATGTTGAGATGTTGGCATCACTCCATTCAACACTTAGGACTAACGTTAAAACCATTGTATATTTTGGTAAGTGCTTGGTTGGTGGAACTGGGAACTTGAATATCTCAAGCCATTTTCCAAAGTAGAAAGCATTGGAGAGTAACTACAAACTTTGGGCATATTAGCCCAAGAATAGCCCTATGAATTGGGTGTTTTCAGGTGGCCTGATGGGTTTGAGTGGGTCCTGTGGCAACAACAGGGCAATAAATGAGCTCTTTAGGGCCTTGGTCAGAGCTATGTAAGTGAGTTGCAGAATCAACTGCCACATTTGCAACTGACTATGTATCATGTGGCAGCCCACAACCAAGCTCTTCCATCAGGTGATCAGGAAGCAGACAACCTAAGTGAAGTTAGATGGCTGGAAATGTGCTAGCTAGAGATGTGGCTGTTGAACTCTATAGAAAGACAGGTCATAAGAAAAAGTCTCCACCCGTATAACAAAGAATAAGGAGCTCACTTGATAGCCAAACAATATATATGTGTTTGAGGCTTCCTCTGTCTGGCAGCCATGACCTGGCCTCACATGATGGGAGGGCAAGTCAAGGGAGGCAACCTGTCCAACAGTGGCAGGTGGACTTTACCCAGACCTTTGCCTTATCAAAACCTTTAAGTTTAGCCAGGTGTGGTGGGGCACTTCTGTAATCCCTGTGGCTCAGGAAGCTGAGACAGGAGGATCACGAGTTCAAAGCCAGCCTCAGCAACTTAGTGAGGCCCTAAGCAACTCAGTGAGACTCTGTCTCTAAATGAAATTAAAAAAATGGGTGGGGATGTGGCTCAGTGGTCCAGTGCCCCTGAGTTCAATCCTTGCTATGAAGAAAAACAAAGTTTGCTCTAAGTTTTGTGGATACACACACTGAGCTGCCATAGTCAAGTACTTGCTGAAGGGCCTCACAGTAGGCTAACATACAAGCATTTACTTGCTTGGCATTGTTTATGTTGCTCCTGTGGACATAGACATTGTGTGTGTTAGTCCAACAGAAATGGACAAGGGACCTTACAGGCTTCATGGTTCAGGAAGGAGCTGAGAATTCAGACCTACATTGGCATCTTCACTGACCTTGTAACTCATATTCAGTAAATTAATTTCATGAGTGAATGCCCACCAAAATATCAGCTAAACATGGAAGATGTTTGGCAGTGTGAACCAAGTGCTTAAGGATGGCCCTGAGGACATCCATAAATGAATATGACTGTAGCACAAGCCCCAATGCCTGTCTGATGTTCACACAAGAACCTGAGGAGATGTGGATTCAAAGGTGGATGCTTGAAAAGAACACCTGCATTGCACACAAGGGAACACAGGGTCAATTGCTGTTGATGCTGACACAGGACCTGCCACAGGGCCCTGTAGACTCTGTTGGCCATGGACAAAAGGGCCTTGATGGTGTGGGTTCCTAGGTTCATGGTCAAAAGGAGTAGACCACGATATAGAAATAGAAAAAAGTACCACACTGGAAATTTCATCTCTGAGTGAGAATGTCTCATTTCATTATGGTCTGTAAGAATCTCACTGTTGTCATACATTTCTTTGCCAGATCCACAGGGACCACTAGTACCACAAATATGGGATTGTAAACCTGGTGATGGGACACAGGCTGATACTATCAAGTCCAGATGAACAGGTTACTTATATATTGCTGAATAATCCAATTTGTATGTCTTAACACCTGTTATATTTTATCTTTAGAACTCATCTGCTTGCATAATAGACAAGGACTATCACAGAGATGCAGAATAAAATGATTCCTGGTTATGCAGGGAGCTGCCTCTCTCTCTCTTCCTCCACTCATATGCTTTGGCACCTTCTCTCAGCCACCTTGGCACAATGGAAGCAAATGTTGAAGGTAGAGCAACAGCTGCAGCCCATGGACACATAGCTGGACAGCTACCTTACGGACTTCCACCTTATGGACTTCCATTTGATGTGGAAATTAATAACTATAACTACAACACATTTGCTGGGGTATACCATGTTTGACATCTTGGGGTGACTGGGTGCAACACTGGTACAAATGAGAAGGAAAGTTCCTCCATGTATAGAAAGAAATAATGCAGTCACACCTCTCTATCCTCTGTAAGAGTGGACTCTAGCCTTGTTCAACAATGTAATTTAACTACTGTCCTCACAGACACTGACTACTTAGCATGGCAAAGTCAACAGTATCTGTGGGATTGTGTGATGCCCTTGAAAACAACTTAAATTCATATGCACACTCCCACCATGTCTCCAACACCTACTAGTTGCAATGTGACAAATGCTTGGCACAAAGTGACCTAAGCTGGCCTGCTGGCTTTACCTACATGGTATGCCTTCTACTCAGCGAGCAAGGATTCACAATGAGTTCCAGGTCAGTGTTCAAGCATCTGGTTGCTGTCTTCCATAATCCAAACCAAGATTGCTTAATGAAGAAACTATGCAAATGTGGAAGGCAGGACTTCAGAGTAGAATAATGCTAGACATGCTCACTGCAGCATGGCAGGCACCTGTGCCTCATCAATGCAGAATATTGGCATGTTTCTCTGATGAGTAGCATTAAGTGTCTTTGGCTCCACAAAGCTGTGAACCCATGTTAATGCCATGGTAAACTTGGTATTGGTCCTGTTTCTACTTGCTTACAATGTCTCCCTGCATCTGGATATATGTTGTATTCAGTCTTCCTGCTCTTATCACATTCTGCTGCTCTGTGAATTGCTCTTGTGGCATTTGGTTACATTGTGCATCCTAATGTGCTGCCTGAGGGACATTGCGGAAGATGGGCGGGATAAGATTGTAAGGGCATACAAGCACATGGGGTGTGGAGTATATGCCATCCTAAAGACAAGTGGGACAGTAAAATACCTTGTCCCCAAATTTCCCCTTTTCATTCCCAATGACATAACCATGTTAAGGACACAGTGAGAGCAGGCCTGGGACAGAAAATCCAGATACATGTCTTGAAGGACACTGGCTTTCTCTTATGCACACTGGGACGAGGGCAAGTTACAATTACTGTTGAAAGCTACTTTCTTTTACAGATGCTGGGACAGTTGCTCCTTGGGGTGTTGGCCATACAAGCAAACTAAGTAAGCTAATGCCGATGATGTCACTGCTTCTATGGCCTAAGATGTGAGCCTCCACCTGAGTGGTGATGGGTAGGGAACTTAGGGCACGGCAAAAGGTACTTGCCACTTGTCTAGCCAGCTACCACTAGACACAGACAGCCCCATGAGGGATGGAGGTGCTGCTTGACAAAGCACTGGGAGTAACGGAGGT